TACATATTGAAGGAGGTTCGTCGAAGAATATCAACGTAAAAATAATTGACTAAATAAAAAACGCAATCCATCCAAAATTGAACTTATTATAGAAATCTGATTTTTCTGAACCACTAGCCCAATGCATAAAAGTGTATACTTATATGAAAAAATAAATAAATAAAGTTGTAACATGTAATGCATGATTCTTAAAATAATGAATTTCATAAAAACTCATATATGGTGGATGCAATCACAAGTCTATATATTGTTAACTTGATAATGCATAAAATTCAATGTGCATCAAATATATGTAATTTAATATGCCTAAAACGTATAGTTCATGTGATATTATCGTGAAGGGAGTAAACGTGTTGTACTCATTTTTCTTGACCAAGAATTTATTTCATTGAATTTTTTTGACATTAATTTTAATGAGACTATTTTTGTAGCATATTCCAAGGAATAATGTGATATTTTTCCTTCACTAGAATTTTTCCATAAGTGTTTTCCTAGTAGGATTTTAACTGTAATGCTGAGTACTTATTTCTTGTTACTATTATGTCTATCTAGATTAGTTGCATTTATGTTACATTTACTTTTAAATTATTAACTATGTTGATGCAGTGGAATGTACTTTGGACGCCTCAGACGGTCGACGTGCCTAGTAGGTTTAAATTTAAGGTACATATAATTCCATTGAATTTACAATTTAATGTTCTTTGGATGCCCTTGACAATTAACGTGTCTATTACTTTAATTATTATTTGTTAAGCACGTTTTAATGTAAGATAATTAAAAATAATAACTAGATATTTAATAATGGAAATCAAGTTTAAGGTTAAATAAATTTATAGGGAAAGATTTGGTGTTTAATAACGTAACAGTTTTTATGCCTTGATAAATGTCACTAGATTAAAAGTATTGATTTTTCCTATTTATACATCTCCTTGCAAGTTAAATTATATATACATGCTTCCTAATTCAAACAAATTATCTTGGATGTCTCTTTCCCATTTTTATAGCTGCATCTTTGTTTAAGGTATTAAGATTTTAGTTTTATTGCTTTGTATTTATATTTGATTATATAATATTATTTGTCGATTTATTTCTCGCATATATGAAGTTTGAATAAATCTAGAGAGGTCAAATTCTAGGTTGATTTAATTGGCATTTCTCTTTTTGGTGTATCTATTTTATTATATGAGAAATTCAATAATTTATTTCGAAAAACTGTTGAATAAATAAATAACGTTGTTAGTATGTGTATATACTAAGGAATTTCATTGATTTGAATAGCAATAAAATAAGATGCATTCCATGTTTAAATTGGTGTCTTCAAAATTATTCGGCATATATGTTATGATTTCCTATTGTAATTATTTTAAATGTTTAGTTATTAGGAAGATTTTCAGAATAGCCCAACATGCCCCAAGTTAGTTGTATTCATGCAGAAATGAATTTTTTTTTGTATATTTTAAATTGTTGGTTAATGGTGCATATTTTTTAGAATTAAACTACTTGTACAATGAATTTGCACAATGATTTTGACTATATGTGAGGTGTATAGATCATTGCCATTAAATTCAAAAACAATCTTTCAAATCAATGGACATAATGTCTACCAACTCACACATTGTCAAACTTATTGTCAAATTCATTGTACATGTAGCATGGTTCTATTTTTTATCCCCCAACTGTTAAGATTTGGAGTTTTATCTTAAAATATCAAACTTATTAAAATGGTTAACTCAATCCTTTATAAATTAGTTTATGTTTTCATCTTTATTCGATGTGAGATTCTATCCCTTAATATGTCCCCGCAAGATGGGGGCTCGTTTAAGCAGACCAATCTTGAAATCAGTTTCTCATTTTTTTTTTAGTCTTAATCGGATCGAATTGCTCGTTAGAGTTTTACAGGCTCTGATACCATATTAAAATTTAGGGTTTCAACGTAAAAGATTAACCTTATTAAGAGGAGTAACGTAATCCTTTATAAATTGATTTATGTTTTCATCTTTATTGGATATGGAATTTTATCCCTTAACACCAACTTCAGGTCTTGTGATGGCTAACCCATTTTAATGCATGTTATTAGAATTTCTCTTCAACTCATCATTACAGTTTTAAATATTTTCTTAGTAAATTTCTTGTTTTGAATTTGAGCTGCAAGTACATTAGTGTGATTCTGCATCTCATTATAGTGAAATCGTGGACACGCAAATTAGTTTCAGAACATATGAAATTTAAATTATTTTCTTCAATTATGTGAGTTTAAAATGTACTTGAAATTTGAAATATTCTCTTCATTTGTATGAATTTAAAATGCATTGATATAGCTTGTTGGCCACTTCTTTTCAGTAGTTGATAAATGCTATAGTATTCCAGATAAGATGACATATTATCAGTAAAGTAAAATAATAACATCAAATGATAAGTTTGGATGAGTTTTCTTAACGAACTGGCACGTTGAGTAGTAGGTGACTAAGGACATCTCTGCTTGCCGTCATAAAACTAAACTTATGAGGATTTCAAGTAAATAAACATTCAATTGTCTTCATGCGTACGTTATATTAATAAATGTATAAATGTGTTACTTAAATTGATTAATTATATGAACATGATATTTGATTATTACGTTTTTTAATGTTAATTCTTCTCGAGAAATATTTGTGCATGCCGATACATCCATAAGCATACTTGAAATCATAAATTTTTACTTTTTACATCCCTACATTTTCTCTCCCTAGTCTTCACCGTAGAGATGGGTTTTTTTCTTGCATCATAGCGTGTCATGTGTCACATTTTCTATATTATTTCCTTGTGCAAATTTCAACTTTTTGAAACTCCTCCCTTTAATCTCTCTTATATTTCATTTCTAATAGCCTTCGACAGTCCACTTTTTTTTTTTTATCCCCAAATGAACACATGTTATAGCCCCTGCTTGGTTCAGGTTAAAATCTGAACTAATTTCATAGGGTCTACAATTTTTCAACCACATATTTTATCAAATTTTATCAAAATTTACAAAAAATCTGATTTCAATCTATACCAAATAGGAGCATAATATATTATGCAGATTTATATTTATGGTTGATCTACTCATAAGAATTGTGTTAAATATATTTAAGACAATATTTTTATTATAATAATGTCTGTGCACGATATAAAATATTGAATTAAAATGAAATGGATACATATTTAGAGCCTATTTGTTTCCGATTAAAATTGAAAATATGGTCGTTATTGGGTCTCACTCGTCTAATATAAGTCAACAATAACATCCAGTTTTTCAATTTTAATCTCTACCGAACATGCTCTTATTAGGAAAAAGTAATAACTCTATATTAAATGCCGCATTTTTGAGAAATGAGAAACATTTCGCAAAATTACAACAATCATGT